GAGAGAGAGAGAGAGAGAGAGAGAGAGAGAGAGAGAGAGAGAGAGAGAGAGAGAGAGAGAGAGAGAGAGAGAGAGTCAACACTGAGTACGCACGCGCGCAGCGCACATAGAACATGGGCTGATCACATACATGCTCAGAATACACAGCAAACAGACTCGGAATTGGAATTCTCAGCGAACAGATCAACAGGACATCATTTCCTCAGAAAACTGCAGAGTTCAGTGTTCTCGGCTAGCTCAGTGGGTTTCATGCCTGAGCTGCACCGAGAGGAGGTGCTGGGTTCAGTTCAGAATCTGCTGTTGTTCACTTTCAATGGCCTGAGCATGAGGATGGCCAAGGCCAGATCGACGTTGGTCAGCTCACTGCGGTGAGTTCCACCTCCCCGTAACCCGCCGCTACGCGGAAGCATGAGCCCTACCGCCGGAAGTAGAGGGATGTAGGTACGTGGCCTGCCTGTGGCGGTGTACGGTAGTTCGTGGTGGACAAGGCCTGCTCAGGTCCTACTGCTGTAGGGGGTCGGGACATACCCAAGGAGTCTGTGGTTGAATCAGCTTAGTTGACATCCATTCCATGGCTCAATTACATGGCCTAACTCAGGGTTGAGACCCCTCACAAGCTTTATATGAACAATGCCTGACTCAGGGTCGTGACCCTCAACTTATTTACTCAGGATACTCTCAAGAGGCATGAATGAACTCAAATGAATCTGATGAATACTTGTCATAATAGAAGTTCCCAGCCTGGGGCTAGGTCCGACTTACACGAATTAAGCGATATTGACCGTAGATAGCAAAGATCAACGGCCAGAATCTCTTAATCCGTGCAAGTGGTACCTTGCCCCTGCTTTGTTTCTGGTCCTGCAGCCTGGACCTGCACCCGGCCGGAGTAGCCGGCGGGAGCAAGACTGGGGCTGTTTTTTTTTTGGGGGGGGCTGTGTAATTTTGTTTATACCACTAGTACCTTTCCCGCGTGGGAAAATAGGGAAAATTGGCAGTTTTCCCAAGCGCCTGAATTTTCGGAGGTCGGGCCCGACGACGACTGCCATTGATAAATCTGATCGGCGGCCGTCGTTTCGTTTCGGCCGCTGCAAAGGTCGGATGCCTACCCGAGGCCCGCTATTTTCAAGCGGCAAAGGTACTGGTGGTATAAGGGACGCTGGCCCGCTTCCCGCCAAAAGGAAAACAGAAATATTTGGCAGACACGTAATTGAAAAAGAAAAAAGAAAAAAAAAGCTCTCAGGGTGCCCACATATGAAAAGGAAACTGCAGTTATTTTCCATAAAAAATCTACAGCAATAAATAAAATTCCCATGAAAATACCACTCGATTGAGTCCCAAAAAAAGTCATTTCATATCAGCCCCCGCCGTTGAGGACGCTGGGCCCGCTTCCCAGCCTGTAATTGAAAAGCTCTCCCTTGTCTGCCCCCGTTCAGGACACGCGGTTTCAGCAGTGTAGCCCGGCTATTCGGCGGACACACGTAATTGCGTGAGGTGCGGTCCTCCCGTATAGTGTTATGCACCTGTCTTTTCCTCATCTACGTACCACGTGGCGTACCACGTGGCGCAGCGGTTGGTCAAGGACGACTTCCACGTTGACGTGTCATCTTGGTGCCGAAAGATGGGGATCCGATGGATTGCTCGGCTGGATGCCTTCCCAAGGACGGAGGACCATCTCATGCAGAAGACGAAGTCTGGTGCTGTCGTTACCCTGGGTGGCGTTTTTATGATGTTGGTGTTGTTCCTCCACGAACTGCGGTTTTACATCACGCCATTTGAAGTGCAGGAGATGCAAGCTGACGTGACAAGGGGAGAAGAGCTGCGCATTCATCTGAACATTACTTTCCCGTCCTTGCCTTGCCAAGTACTTAGCCTAGATGCGTTGGATATGTCGGGCAAGCACGAGGTCGATCTTCACACTAACATCGTCAAGATTCGACTCGATAGGTATGGACGTGAATACCATGCGGAAATGGTGACCGATTTGAATGAAAAAAAAAAGCGCCCACACGGCCACAATCACCATGATGAAGACGAAGATCATCAAGCAATTGACACCAATCTCGAAAGCATTGGCGAAATCAGACGTGCCCTAGACGAGCAGGAAGGTTGCAGAGTGCATGGATACCTAGATGTGCAGAGGGTTGCGGGCAATTTCCATGTGTCTGTCCATGGGATGAGCTACTTCGTTCTCTCCAAGGTGTTTGATGATCTTGGTATGATCAACGTGAGTCATCTTATCCATAAGGTCTCGTTTGGGCCCGAGTTCCCAGGCCTTGTCAATCCGCTTGATGGGTTCGTGAGGCTGCTGGATGGCAGAGGCAACCCGCCAATGGACAGTGGTACGTTTAAGTACTTTTTGAAGATTGTACCTACGGTTTACCGAGATGTGAAAGGAAAGGAGACTTCCACAAATCAGTATTCGGTTACAGAGTACTTCACTCGCGCCAAGAAGGACTCGACAATCCCGGCAGTTTACTTCTTGTATGATCTGTCGCCCATCACGGTCACCATTACAGAGACAAGAAGGAACTTCTTCCATCTAATAACTCGCATCTGTGCTGTGATTGGTGGTGCATTTGCTGTCACCGGAATGTTCGATAGATGGACTTACAGATTGCTGCAGCTTCTGGAAGCCTAAAAGCCTAAGCCTAAAAGCCTAAAGCCTAAGTCGCCAGGGCATGTCGCTGGGGAATTCAGCAGCAGCTCCCGGTAGTGTGCCTAGTGCCTAGTTCCTAGCTTTTCCGCAAACTTGTCATTCCTGCTAAGGATTAGGAGAGGGGGGGGGGGGGTTGTATCGTGTCGGCAGAAGAGCTTTGGTTGTTGGTTGTTTTTCGTTTTGTTATAAATGATGAGGTTTATCCGTTCATTATTCACTCAGATGTTGTCGTTTGGAATCGGTATCCACTCTCAACAACCCCTTCTTCCGTGCATTTCTCGTATTTCAGCCTCCTCCCTCCACGCCCCTCCAAGTTCTCTCTCTCTCTCTCTCTCTCTCTCTCTCTCTCTCTCTCTCTCTCTCTCTCTCTCTCTCTCTCTCTCTCTCTCTCTC